ACCCAGATATAGCCTCCCACAGGAGGCTCACTCCTGAGGCAAGAGCTGCCTTACAGAGAGTAAAAAAAGCCTTAGGTGGGGCTACCTTACACAGAATTAAACCAGGGCGACCCTTTGATGTCTGTTTGCTACAGACTAGTCTACAGCCTACAGCGGTGATTTGGCAGAAAGGACCACTACTGTGGATACACCCTAAGGTCTCACCTGCAAAAGTCATAGAGCATTACCCGGAGGCAGTCGCTTCATTGGCCCTTGAAGCGCATGATAGAGCTGTCCAACATTTTGGCTCAGGACCACAAGCCATCCGAGTACCCTATACCGCCAGCCAGATCAAGACCCTGGCTGCCTGCATAGATACCTGGGCCATTCTGAGATGTGTTTTCCATGGGGATATAAACAATCAATACCCTAAAGACCCTATCTTGTCATTTGTCACTCAGCACCCTATAATTTTTCCAAAGGTTACTGCCTCTGAGCCATTAGTCCCAGCAACTACAATATACACAGATGGCTCCAAGACGGGGATAGGCGCCTATGTGATCCTAGGCAAGCCCCCGGTTACCATACAATTTAAACCAGATCAGCCTCAGGTGGTAAAACTGCAGATCGTTAAAATGATTCTTAAACGGTTCTCAGAAGCCATTAACATTGTCTCCGATTCTAGGTATGTGGTCAATGCTATGCAAGTGCTTGAGACTGCCAGTTTAATTAGATCCACTTCCACAGTGGCTGGACTGTTCCTGTCTATCCAGACATTGCTTCAGAACAGACACCATAAGGTCTTCACCACCCACATAAAAACACATACATCCCTGCCGGGGCCCATGGCACAGGGGAATGCGGCTGCTGACACTGCCACTCGCCCGTTATGGATTTTTACCTTACTAACACCAATCGAGCGAGCCCGTGCCTTCCATGATAAATTTCATGTTAATGGCAGGACACTAGCAAACCATTTCCATGTTTCTAAAACAGATACACGAGATATCGTGCGACTATGTGACTCCTGTGCCACATACAAACCTGCCATACCGATGGGAGTAAACCCTCGAGGTTTGATCCCTGGTGATGTTTGGCAGATGGACATCACACATATACAGGAGTTTGAGACTCTTAAATATGTTCATGTTTCCACAGACACCTGTTCTCACGTCATATTCACAACAACAGAAACAGGTAAAAAAGTGTCTAATGTGATCAATCATTGCCTGGCAGCTTGGGCCGCATGGGGCAAACCAAAAATATTAAAAACTGATAATAGACCAGCCTATATAGGCAAAGCCTTCAATGAGTTCTACAAAATGATAGAGGTTCAATTAAAACATGGTATCCCATACAATCCCCAAGGTCAAGGAATCATTGAGAGGGCTCATACAAGCCTCAAACAAATTTTACAAAAACAAAAAGGGGGAGTAGGCCAAGGCCTGGCCCCAAAGGCACGATTATCCATGGCACTATTCACACACAATTTTTAAAATTTAAATAATGATAATCGCTCCCCAGCTGTGGAGCACTGCAACCCTTCCCCCAACCATAAAGGGTGGGTGAAGTGGAAAGATGTCCTGACAGGACAATGGATGGGCCCGGATCCAGTGGTCAGCTGGAACCGAGGCGCGGTTTGTGTTTTCCCACAGGAACCGGGACGAGAACCACTGTGGATACCGGAGAGACTGACACGGGCAACAAAGCCCTCGACTGAAGATCAGACCTGCCCTACTGGAGATCCATCACAGACCAACCAATAAGATGAATAAAAATAGCGGTAGCCCGAAATGGACAAGAAGATCCTCAGGCATATGCATGGCTTGCTCAATTGGCCCACGACCGAGTCTAGATATGGCGGGCATCCCTCATTCTCCTCCATAAGGTGACAATACACAGCAGGGTAGGTGAGTCAATGACGGGTAAGAGCGTGCCTCCCCAGCACGACTCGACCTAAGCCAGGCCCTACCCCATCCTGCACGTAAGCCGCTGGACTGTTAGATGCTGCCCAGGTCTAAATTTCTCTCCGAGGGGATTTCTTTACGGAGAGGAAATGAGTGCAAGCTTGTGTGCATCCAGGTTCCGTCCAGTTTGTGCCTGGCCCTAGAAAAAGGACGAGGGCCTCAGGGCCTTGACAGACCATGGCATGGCCAACCAGGGTCTAAGCCAAGGACCTACGGTGGACCTACACATAGGGCATAAGCCTCTGCACCCAGTCCAGGAAGGGCTACGATGCGCACATTCATAAAAAATAAAATAGGGGGAGATGTTGGGAGCCGCGTCTGTGATAGCTCGCCTTGCGCGGCGGACGTGCGGCCTGTGGTAAAGAGCAAAGCCTGAGGTAGATTACCCCTCCCATCAAATATGTTAGTTTCCTGCTTACCGCGTAAACAACCCGCTCAACAATATAGTCTGCCTGGCAACTGATGATGTTAGCCAATCAGCTTGCCTTGCTTACTTTAACATGATTGGACACTGTACCCGTATATATACCGGTGCCACCCCTGGGCGGAAGAAGAAGCCAGGTAGAAGCCCAGAAGTAAAAGCCCAAAAGGAGCCGCGGAGAGCGGACCGATAGAGGCTTTGGGGCAGACTAAAGCACAAAAGGAGCCGCGGGGAGCGGACCAGAGGAGGCTTCAGCTGGGAGAACCCAGGGCAGGCTGTACGGAGAAGGAAAATAAAAAGAAAAGGTTGTCCACTACCAGACTTTGTCGTGTGTCCTTCCTGCCGGCCGGGAGCGGACATCGACACCAGTCTCTCCCTTTATAATGGGTATCATCTCCTGGATTTCAGTGCAGATTTTTCAGTTTGAAGCGCTGGCCTTTTGGCTGCTGGTACACTCTCCAGCTTCTAGAGCCAACACTTTGATCTCCCGACTCTTCCGTGCTAGATACTTCTGCCTCTTGATATGGACTCCAAAGGGACATTTCCTTGGGTTCTAGATATTTGGCTGCATCCTTCAGATCTCCAGGGCAAGGATAGATCTTTTACCTTCTTCTAAATTTCACTCTGTGGGCAGCCATTGTAGGCATATCTTGTAAATGCCTGTACCCTACATTCAATCTGATTAAGAACACATGCGGTCTTTCCAGGAGCCTTCTTCCGGCCCCACAAGCTCTAGTAGCACTAAAACACTGACCTATTACTACTTTTTATTGTACAATAATAACCAACATTAACTGAATGAAATTAAATCATGTTTGTGGAACACTAGTACTGTACTTGACCATGATGAAAAGTTGACGTGTGATGTGATTAGCTTTATTAATATCATGGTCCGTGTGTAATGGGAGAAGATGAAGGATGATGAGGTACTGCTGGGCACTGATCATCTGTGATATTTCAGGAACAGGGAGTCATTCTTTTACAGTTGTGTCTGAAGTTCTATGATTCTGGAAGGACATTGTCACTGGGAGAAACTAAGCAAACACTAAATGACATAGAACTCCATGGTATTATCTATGTAATTTCTTATAGGTCTCAAAATTTCACAATAGAAAGTTTAAAGTAAAAATCCACAAGAATATATAAAAGTACTCTTACATTAGTAGAGAAGACACTGTAAGTTTCCTGAGCAGTAGAGCGTAGTGCTCTGCTGGAAGGCTCTAGTATCCAGTACTGGCCTCTATGATCATCAACACTGTCAACACTTCTCTTTTTTGTATTTCACACTGGGGTTGCAGTGACAGCATTCATCACCCAGGGCTAGACCAGGCTATAAGCAGGTGCATGGGAAGTCTGAAGGAATCCCATGATCTGGGAAGCCCTCAGTCGAATGAATGTGGTACAACTCTAGAGTCACACCACAAAGTAGGCAGTGAACAAACTCTTCCCTCAATAAGACAGAACCCCAGAGGAACAGCCAGAATGCTGGTTACCCCAGGGTGGGGCATTCCTGGAAGGGCACAGTGGAGACTTCAGGGAGGTTGAAGGTTCTGTAGCTTGATCTGGAGGGTAGATACCCTGGTACCACATGGGGCTGTTCACAGTAAATCTCTGGGCTCCTTACTGGATTGTACTGCAATCTTAAATAATCAAGTATACATGAATATTGGGATCATTGATCATTTACATTTGGAAAAATTTTGGAAGCTAAATGAGTGGGTCTCTCACACCAAAATTAAATTTAATCATAACTAGGAAAACTATTGTTGGTTAATTATCCATTGTGGGGCGGATATAGACAACATGAAGGGAAAACACTAATAATGAAACCACATTTGCTTGAAGAAATACAAACCACAAATAAATTTGGGGAAAATCTTCAACATCACACTTCACTCAAGAGATGCAAATTACAACAACAGTAAATTCCTCCTGACCCAAGGAAGAATGCCTAGTATCAAGAAATCAACCAACAATGAAAGTTGGAGAGACTGTGGGGAAAAAGGAGCCCTTCTCTGCTGCTTTTGGTAATGCAGACTGGTGCAAGCACAGTGGAAATCAGTGTGGAGATTCCTCAAACCTAGAACTGGAGGTCCCATTCAGCCCAGATGTTCCCCTGGGTATCTTCCCAAAAGAATTAAGGACATCATGCCACAGTGATACCTGCGCACTCATGTTTATAGCAGTACAGCTTATAGTAGCCAAATCTTGGAAACTATCTAAATTCCCATCAACTGAGGAATGGAAAAAACAGATGCCCTATTTTATGCAAGAGAGTACTTCTCAGCCGTATAGAACAATAGGTAAACAATTTAAATTAGCACTGAATAATACCAAACCCAAGGCAGTTTTGTTGTTGTATTGTTTTGGTTTTTTCTTATCACCATCTGGTCTTTGTAAACTTGGTTGCCTATCCAAATAACAGTGTTTTATGTCATCACCATTCTCTTCTTAAAATCTTTGTTCTAAATTCAAATTATATTTGTATAAGTTCTTGCAAGGCATCACTATTGGAGTTTATTAATTACAGATCACTTAAATTTAGTTATTTTTTCTAAATATGTTATTTTATCAAAATAAATACTCCTGTTTACTGCCAGCTAACCATATGAATGTGGCCTCTTTTTTTCGAGGTTGGGAGTGGGTCCCATGGGAAGAATTCCCTCCACTGGACCAGCTTTTCTGGGCACTGCGTTGTTTAAAGGAGCAAGGCTATGATCCATTTAAAGAAGATCTGAACCACCTGGTAGGATACAAAGGCAATCATCTCTACATGACTAAGAAGAGTCTTTGATCAAAAAAAAAAAAAAAAAAACTACAAAAATAAGGTCAAGTTAAAGAATGAAAATATTGAAAACTCCCATTTTTATTGAAAAAGTTACATGTGAATCTGGTTTATTTGTATTCTCTTAATACTCACTACCTCAAGAAAAATCTTTCTGGAACATGTCATTGAATGGTATTTCAGGGACAAAATATGTAATAGAGATATTGTGGTTAATCTGTTTTCCAAATTTATCTGTGATGTTCACTGTGTGGTTTATCATTACACCTTACACCAGGCAGAGTGCAATAGGATTTGCTCTAGTGTTCCAGTTAAAATAGAGATCCCCCCTCAGGTCTCACAATGCAGATTTAAACCATTGCCTGTTACAGAATTCATTGTTTGTTGATTTTTCGTTCGTTCTTTTTTTTATTGTTTAAGAGAACTGGCAATATATTGTGACAATTTGCAACTAGTAAGAACAGGCCAGGTCAGTATGCTATATATTTCCCAGATTTCTGGGTGAGACCCTAAACTATGAGAAGTGAGACAAACCACCTAAGATCTGGATCCCACATCAACAGGCCAGGGCTTTGTGAGTGCCTCACTTTGCCCGAGACCCAGTGTCTTTGTACAGAAGAGGCAGGGATTGCTCTAGGGCAGGGCAGCAGTTCTCCCGGTGTGGGCTGTAGGACTCCTCAAGAGCCTTTCAGGGTATTCAAGGCCAAAGATACCTGCTTTTATAATCCTAAAACAACATTTAACTTTTCCACTCTCATCCTTTCACCATCATACACACACGTTTTCTAGACTCTGCCTGATACATGGTGTCAGAATATAAAAGCAGAAATGGGAATCCAGTTTTCTTCTGTTGAGACATTAAAGAGATTTGCAAAAATATCAGTGGCACTTTTCTCACTAATGAATAATATTTTCAGAAACAGATTTTTTAAAAAAATTATAGTACGCACAGGATTTTTATCTGTAAATGATTAATGAAAGTTTAAGCTCATTTTCAATTTTTTTTTTTTTTGTTTCTGAGATAGGATTTCAGAATATAAACCAAGCTAAATATCAAACTTACAACCTCCTAGTTCAGCTACCTGATGAATTTTTTTCAGTTTTACTTTTTGTTTATGGGGTGGGGATACTGAGGATCAAACTCAGGGACCCCCCTAATACTGAGCTAATTCCCCAGCTAAAATACTGCAGATTGTCTTTAAACTTGTGATTCTCTTGCCTCCTGAACAGCTGTATAGGAGTGCACCACCGCGCATGGCCAGTTTTAATTTCTAACACAAGGATCACCCTATAACAACTCTGTAGTTTTTAAGAGTTTTGGCAACTGTGTTAATTACGTCTCTCACAGTGAAAGGAAAAAACATTTATTTTGGCTTACAGTTTGTAAAGCTCAGTCCACAATCAGCTGGCTGGAAAGCCAGGCGACAGGGCAGGGGCATCACAGAAGAGAAACAGCTCATGCGGTGAGGCAGGAAGCAGCAAGCAGCAAGCCTGCCTTTGCCTCCTATCCCAGCTGGGTACACACCTTTTGGGCCAGCCAGCCACACAGCGAGGGGCTTGTTTTCAGTAAATCTATTCAGCTGATCCCAGAACTACACTAACTCCAAACAGTGGACTATGACTAGTCCCACTTCCTAAACCCCAGGATCACTCACATGACCCAGCCACCTCCCTAAGCCCCACCCACAGGACATGGAACTTTGGGGGACATTTAGATAGAAGCCATAACAGAAACCAAGACCAAAACAATTGAGACTTGCTAGATTGGGCCATACACTCCCCACCTTTTTTTTTTGGAATCCCACTTCTATGAATTTCTATGTTCCTCTTAAACTTTAGGTTTTAATTTTGCTCTTTCAAAAAACTGGCATTATTATAGTACTTCTTATACAGGAATCTTTTTCCAATAAGGGATTATCATTTTTCAGTTTTTTCAAAGTTATATGCATATACCTCTCCTGTATTATATATTTATAGATCTCATTTTCTATTTTCTTATTTCTTTGCTAGAATGCTTGTTCAACCATGACAAACGTGTACTCCTTGAACTTCAAATACACTGATGACTCTTAGTTTTTTCTACTCCATATGATTATTCCACATCCTTCTATTATTTTTTCACTCTCTGCCTTGATTGGCTGACTGCTCCTGATTTATGCTAAAAGGGCACATTTGAGGCTTCTAAGAATAAAGCAGACAAGCCTTCTGGATGAACCGTCCCCAAGGCTTAGCTCAGATATAGTTGACTAGGACTTTGCTGAGATACCAACTTTATTGTAGTACCTCTGCAAGCAGGCGTCTTATAGCTTCAAAAGCTTTATCACAAACTTGGAGTCTTACTATAACTGCTTCTTTAACTTTTTAGTGAACAAACTGTTGCAGAACTTCTGAGGGGTTTGTCTTACTTTTTTAATTCACCCAACTTGACATGAAACAGGGTCTCAATGCAAAAGAAACATGAGTCTAAGCTTTTCTTCATATGAAAAAGTAAAAAGATAAGGCCTTTGTGTAAGAGGGATTGAATTTACCTCAGCCTCTGAAATGCTCAGGTGGCAGCCAGTAATTATTTGGTAAATGTCCTTCAGTGCGTCTCTAAAGGACTGCAGTAAGCAGATTTTGAACTCTTAAGCAGTTTCTTAGCTATCTTGATAATCACAACAAAGATTAACACTGCCTACTAACATTTTCGTAGCACTAAATGTCAGCTAGAGTCCTCAAGGTATACTGCATTCTGCCAGGTTCTTGTTCCTAAATTAAACCCTGGGATGTCAAAAATAAAACATACTAAAGGCCCTGAGGTATTGTCTATTCCAAAATACGCAGGTGCTGCCCCGCTGACTCTGGCAACGTGTTGGTAGAAGTCAGCCCAGTGGTACACCAGTGACTCCCCCAGGCTTTTGCCCCTTAAGAGACACTTTTTAAATCATCTCAACGGCCAGCTTTCCAAGGAAGGCAAATACTTTTATATAAAATACTCTTTAGACATCAAGGATCCTAATAGGAATTGTGAAGAAAACTCAAGAAGTCACCGATATGGCAGAAGATAGACAAAGCCTTCTTCCAACATAAAATCACATATTCAGTCTCTCTGAGCAATCAATTACTTATGCTGTACACAGAAGTCAGTGCTGCATTTGAGTAGTTTTATTATTAAAAAAAATAATGAAAGGTAACACCAGGTGTTGATGGACAGGAATAATCCATGCCTTCCACTTTGTATCCCTCAAAAAACTGAAAACTGTTAAGTTTGTACTCAAGGTCCTACAAAACATTTCATTTTGCACCCGTGTGCCAACTACGTGCAAGGGCCTTACGTCTACCACCCTTCCGTGAGCCCAAATGCTTGCCACCCTTCCCTAAGTGTTGCTTCACCATATCGACGTTTCAAATCCATATTACACTTCTTCATCAAAATAGCACATACACCATTAAAAATGTTTAAAGTACAATTCAGCAGGCTTGAGTACATTCAGAATTATTCAATCACCATCGAACTTGGAACTTTTTCATTGCATCAGATTAGCATCACTCCCCATCCACCTGTCCCTGCACCCCTGAAATCACTAACGGACTCACATGTGGGTGTAGCTAGCTTCTCTTAGCACGTGTCCTCCAGGGGTATCCCTGCTCTAAGACATGTATCAATCTTTCCGTCTTTTTTATGGTTAAAAGTTGTTCCATTATGTCATTTTATTTACCCATGTATCAAGGAGACACTTGCTTGTTTCCATTTTCTACTCTGAGTACCGCTTCTGATAGCATTTGCATACAAACTTTTGTAGTTGTATTTTCAGTTCTCTTGGATACAGACCTAAGAATGGAATCGCTGTGTCATACAGTTTTAACTATGTTTCATTTCTGAGGACCAGCCAAATGGTTTACCAAAGTGACTGTCCCATTCCATAGCAGAAATATACGAGGGCTCCAATTTTTCATCTTGGCAGTTAAGTTTTTTTTTGTTTTTTTATTGGTACCGGGGATCGAACTCACGACATGCACTTGCAAGGCAGGCACTTACGCCACTGAACTAAATCCCCAGCCCTGGCAGTTAAGTTTTATAGTGCTGCTGCATAATCAGCATCCATCTGCAAAATGTTTTTCATTTTCCCTTGTTCAAATTCTATACCCACTAAATGCTAACTACTCAACTTCCCCTAGTTCCTGGTAACTACCTTTTCATTTTGTCTTTATAAATAACTATTCCAGGTATCTCATAAAAGTGAAATCATGTAGTATTTGTCTTTTTGTGGGTAGCTTATTTTACTTCCATTATGTTAAGGTCTAGCCACATATACAGCTTCTTTACAATTTTTCTTTTCAGGCTAATATTCCACTGTATCTGTAAATCACATTTCATCCATTCATCCATCAAGGGACCCTTGAGTTGCCTCCACTTCTTCTTGTTGTTTGAAACAGGGTCTCAATATGCAGCGCAGGCTGGCCCTAGCCTAACAAGTGCTGGGATCACAGGTATGTAACCACTGTACCAACTTTCACATTTTGATTACTGTAAAGACAGATGCTCCTAGACTTATGATATTATACCCTGGTAACCATTATGATTTGAAATACTGTACACGAAAAATGTATTTAATACACCTAACCTACTGAACATCATAGTTTAACAACACAATAGCAAACACAATAAAGTTCCTAACCTGCTGATTTTTATAAATAATCCAGTAGATCCAGTATAATCACAGATTCTTTGTTTTTTAAATAGGAAAAAAAAACTTTACTCAGAAAGAGAAAGTGATGGACTTTAGCTTGAATTGCTGATGAAGATCAGACCAGTCCTTTATAAAAGAGTAAGAAAATCAGGAGAAAGGAAATCATTCAAGATTTCAGCTTGAGGAGCTCACAAGGTCAGGCCCATCCTTAACAAAGGGGACTAGAATAGGACAGGCTCAGTGTACCGCTGGAGGGGACACTGAAGGGGATCAGGCTGGCTCCACAAGGCTTGTTCTTACCTGGACAATGTGGGCAGAAGAATGTCAGTGATGCAATAGGAGAAATTCAAAAACTGGGAGCCCAGAGCCACAGAACCAGGGCAACCTCCTAAAACCCGGCAGCCTCCAGGAAAGAAAGCAATCCTGGCCACATCTGGGATTTAGCTTAGTGAAACCCAGTTTGGACTTCAGACCTACAGAACTATAGGGTATCTTATTTATGCTGTTTAAGCCAATGAATCTGTGGCAGTTTGTTCCAGCAGCAACTCAAAACTGATACAATATTGAATTTTTTAAAAATACATATTCTTTCTGAATCTTTCCTAAAATTTTGCAGCAAGAATTTAAAAAAAAAAAGACATTAAAGTATCCAATAATAAAAAAGCAGATACAATAAAACTCATCCATATAACAGACCAGTCATTAAGATAAATACTTCAAAGAATGTAAATTTAAATTAAAAAGCAATATATAGCCAGGTGTGATGATGCATAATCCTAGCACTCGGGAGGCTGAGGCAGGAGAATTGCCATGAGTTCAAGGCTAACCTGGGGTATGCAGTGGGTTAAAATCCAGCCTGAATTATAAAGCAAGACCCTATCTTAAAAAGCAGAAAAGAAAATTATACAAACAGAAACACATTTATTTACAAAAATTACAATTAAAAAATAATACAACTGTTCTTCTGCTCCTGAAACTGAAGCTGAGACTTCACTTTCAATGAATTTTTATTCTGAAACACAACATATTTCAGTAATCCACTGCCCTGTTTTAAACAATTCCTGAAAGTATATTAATGATATGTGCAGGGCTTATGTCTCTCAAATCTTATTTTCAGAACTATGCACAAATACATCATAAAAGGAACAGAACAGAGCAGGAAAGCACTGAACTACTGAATACTCTTTCTTTCCAAGAGTGAATTTTAACTAATCCCCAAATATTTGCCTGGTGGATTAAAACTAAAACCATGATTTGGGGCTTTAAAAGGAAAACCCATGTTGATTTTTAATGGGTTGCACAAATCCACTTTAGCCAACATTTATGTGGCTTCTCCTTCTGCCTCTGCTGTTTATACCTCCTTGTTACTGTACGAGAACCAGAACTCTGTGGCTTTCAGTTCTGCAGGCCGTCCCATGTTTTTAATCAGAGTCACTACTGCTGCTTGAGGAGTCCGTTGACATAACCTCTACATCATCTTCATTTTCCTTATTATGCCCAGGAGGTTCCAACAAAAAGTCATTACTGTGGTTTGGTGGTAACATGTTCATAGACATGTCATTTGACTGCCATGGATACTGTGGGGCAAGGACATCTGGGGAAAAGAAGCAAATATGAAAACAGTTATCTTTTGAAGGATTCTAAGAAATATTTTTCTTTCCTTTTCCTAGATAACTTGAAGTAAAAATGATTTTTTTTGTGGTGCCGGGAATCAAATCCAGGGCTTCAAACATGCGAAGTACGCACTTTATCACTAGGACACATGTATAGCCCCTGAAGTAAGTTTTTTTAAGGCTAAAAATAAAACTGTTCATTTGGCCAAAGTAAGGAAGGCCATAAGAAAGCTCAATGAATGAAAAGTACAATATTTTAGCAAATAGGAGGTTATTTTATATATAAAAAATACCATACTACTCTGTAAGAAACTATCCACATAGCCTCTTGACAAGTTTTTTTTCTGTAAGATACATATGCTATTATACATAATTCTAGAAAAACTGACTAATAAAGGAAGTATCATACAAACAAGTTCAATATTAAGAGAAGGCAGAATTCTAGGGAGCTTTGGTGGTAACTCGGTATGTGTGCCAGCTGGTTCAAATCCGCCCTTCTTCCTGGACCCTCCTCCACCAGCTTCCGCAACATCTAGCTTTTACGGGTAAAAGGTATGGGCTGGGTGGGGAGCAGGGCACAACACCACAGCTCTGCAGGACAGTGGCCTGCACTCTCTTTCCTTGTCCAAGTGTTGTATGCTTTCACTCCTGCGGGCTGGTGGGTATGCAAATCATAGCGGGTTTACCCTCAGGCAACACTGGTAGCAGTCCTGAAGGTAGTTTGCCAGTCAGTTTCTCTACAATCTTAAAGGCCCACTGCACAACTTCCTGCTTGCCAGCAAGGGCCTCTGTTACCTCGTATTCTGACCTGGAGTCGCCATGGTTAGCCCACATATCAGACCTGGGACAGGGTGGGAAGGACCCTTTCTAGTCTGTCCTCTCCTCGGGTCTCTTGCTTCTGCCTACGTGTAGTTACAGCTCTCCATGTCTGTTATTCATGTGCTTTAAAAAACAGTTTTTACCCATTAGTACATTATTATGAGTTAATAATTCTTTCAATTTTTCCATTCACATTACTGCTATGCTTGATCTACTGACAGAATTGAGACTGGTATGTAATTCAGTACAATTAGAACGACAAAGATGAGGTCTATCCAAGGAAATTAATCTATGTACACACCGCCACCCTCAGTGTGCACGTTAAGGCAGGTAACAGAAATGGTATGTACAGAGCGTTTTCAGTAACATTTGGACATCCTTAACCTATAATGTCAAGCAAAAGAAGCAATACATAACAGTATATTTTTAACGTAAAATACAGAGTAAAAAGGAAATGCTAAAATATTCAAAGTTACTGCCTCAGAAAGGCTAATTTTTTCCTTTTATGTATCTTACAGATGTTCTGATGTTCTACTACATAAATCAAAACAAATTACCTACAAACTGCATCTTAATTGTTTATAAAATAAGCACATGTTTATTCATATAGCATATTTCACAACTGCAAAAATGCTGGCATAGAGCAGGGAAAAAAACCACAGGAAGACCCCAAAGCCTGAGGAATATGGCAGACTATTACATGTAATGGTGATAAAGCTAATTTTATAACCTCCATCTAGAAGTCTTTAATGGAGTACACAGAAAGCAGGATATACTGGCTGAGTACCTAGCTATGACAATGAGTTGGCTTTGGAGGCTCAAATGTAGAAAGCCTCAAAGCCCATCACTGTCATCTCTGCTTGGTCCTCAAACCACTTGTCTCCTTGGAAACATTCTTCTGATTAACATTACCTGGTAGTCTACCTGCTGCAAGGGCATCACCTGGTAAATGACCATTCACACCATTCGTGGATGGATTGTTCATCTGACCCAACAATCCACTTCTCATCTCTAAATCGGTTGGATACGGTCTTCGTGGGTCCCCTAAACCATAAAGAATGCTTTTAAGCCAATCATATTTAACAACAACAAAAAACATCAATGTTCTTTAAAGTACTAATTTTTCTTGGTGCATACTGAAAATTTAAATTACATTTTAAATTTTGGAATATGAAGTTCACCTTATCAACTGTTATTAAGAGCATAATATATTAATTTTAAAAATACATGTACTTTTATTCTCAATCTTCCCAAGAATAAATATACTGTTCTGTATATGAAAAAGAGATGACAGTCATTTAACAAACATTTCAAACGACAATTTGAAAAAAATCACAGTAATTTCAATTCTTCTAACTTAATACTATTTTTTACTAAGAAGAATAACAATGATCAGAACACGTATAAGGAATGTAGTATTTACTGGAAGGTTTACTTAATTAAACCTTCTTCTAACCAAACTTTTTGATCTCGTCATAAATTAATTCTTGTAACTTTCTAGTGGGTATCAGCAGATTAATTCCTATAACTTTCTAGTGGGTATCAACAGATTAATTCCTGTAACTTTCTAGTGGGTAACAGCATAGGTGTTTCTTTTTTTTGGTACTGGGGATTGACCTAACAACCTCAGTTGCATACGTGCCTGCCGATGCCAGGCAGGCACATATGCCACTGAGCTAAATCCCAGGCCCCAGGAGTAGGTGTTCTTACTCCAATCAGGAAACCGTATTAAACAGCAGCCAGCAGCTTGGGACTGATAAAAGCATGGCAGGTCCTGAACATCTTTAGGTAATGTTTCTCACTCACTCCAGATTACTTACTTTCAAAACCATAACTCAGCACTTTCAGCAGTGGTAAACACCGCCTTCAGGAGGGACTGCGGGGAGGTAATTCTCTCGTTCCTCCTAAGAGGCTACTGCTCCTCCCTAGGTTTCGTGTCTTTTATTTTATTCACTGTGAATATGACTGGTAGACTGTGTCTCTCTTGCTACTTCTAATTCTCTCAGCTCTTCCTAGGCCTGTGTGTTTGCTGCTGGGTGCCAAGTACTTTGTGTAAATTTAGCACCTAAGAGTGCTGGGACTGTGTGTTTCTCAGGTTCCACTGTTTGTGGAAATCCTAATGGCTCCAGGAGGGGGCTTATGGCCAGCTGGGGTTTTACAGACATATAAATCCACTGTTGTAGATATATCACAAATTAACTTAAATCTTTTTAAATGGCAACTTATAATTTTTTAAAAAGGAAAGAAATAGTCCCTAGTGCCACTGGCTTTATAGAAAACCTATAGCATATAATTTATTTATAAAAACTATGGCATATATCATCATTTGTAAGATATCAAGGATTTGAAAATATCTTTATTGGCAGATGTTTCTAAAATATGTATTCTATATTTGAATCTGTTTTTGTATTCATAAAACCTCAAAATTTCTAAACTACATATAAAAAAGTATTTTTACCTGGAACCCAGGTCAGTGGGGCACATACAGCATTACTTGCACTAATTCTGTGTGCATACTTAATTATTTCTTCAGAGGAGATAGCACCTAAGAATTAAGGAAACAATGAAAGTTTAATAAATATACAAGTTTAGAAGGGCATGCATCATAGTTACACAGTATACTTAATTTTATTTGTCTTGTTCTGTTTTTTCTTTTTTTCCTTTGAAACAGGCTCTGTATAATTCAGAGAATCAGAGATTCTCTTGCCTCAGTCTCCAGAGTACTGGGATTACGGAATTGCACTACTATACCTAGTTAATTTTAAATCATCTGAAAATAGGATTATCTCAACCACTTAACTTCCCCAACAATACCTCCATATATATTACAAACCAAAACTATATATATATATATCCAAACTAAAAATGCAACTCATACAGCAAAATCAGCTAAAATAAACATTTGAGAGACTAGTACACTACACAATAATCTCAATCAATAACTACTGCTAAACACCTAACATTACTCTTCAGAAAGCAATAGTAAATACAAATAAAGAAAACAGTGTTTCATTGCCCAATATCATCCAACTTATGAAATCAGCAGGAGTTTACACAATTTTGTGTGTAACATGGCTTAGGATCTAAATAGACCTCACAAAAAGATGTATAGAATGCATTTATTTGGTTAAAAGGCTGTTGACTGTATAGTGTGACAATTTTCTGCTTTAAAATAAATGTTTTTATTTTTTAGTATTTTTACCATATACATATTTATAAATTTAGAAAAAAATTAGAAGACATGTATCAAACATCAGAAGTAGTTACCTCTGAAAAGTAAGAACAAATTTTTAAAATTGATTTTTCTATAGATTTGTCTCAATCTAACAAAATACCGTACAGAGGAATATAAAATATTTGAGGGCTAAAAATAAAATGAAAACATGCTTTACATTTCAAAAGCCAGCCTTAGTCATCTCTCTTAGAGACTTGTTTACTGCTAGAGAAACCTACTTTGTTTCTCAGAGGATATTTGCTATTTTTCACAACTAACGATCAAAAAGTAGGTTCCCAAAGAAACAGGAAAGAGGAAAGAAATTAAACCATTAATCTGAGATGATAAAATGTAACTCAAATCAACAAATCACTAAAGGCAAATAACTAAAGTTTTAATTATAATTCCACTTTTAGTAGGCGAATGAAAAGACTCAGTAAGTTGGTAATACAAGCCTCTTAATGCAGGACAGGAAGGCTCCACTCAATGTGCTCAACATCCCAACGGTGTTTCTAGTAGATTCCATAACGTTCTTGTCCAGTTTAGTTGTCCAATGGATATGCTCTCTCATTCTCTATCCTAGCCTTCAAGGTCCAATTCAAATACCATCTCTTTTTCCTTCTCCCAACAACCTTTACGAACCATCCTCTTTACTGCACACTCTCAAATACACAGACACAACTGGCTTCTATTATTCCTTCTTATAATAACCTCAAAAAAGATGGGATACTTCTCTCTCTCTAGAGATGCCTACTGCAATACTAGAATACAGCACACTCACAATGAAAATTTATTAGAACCTTTGCAACAGCAGAAAATGATTACCAATGAAAGGAATTTCCTGAAACAAGAACTTAGGTTTTCCAGAAGGCCACCCACCTTTTCCGTGGCACTAACCTTTTCTTGCTTTTTCTATTGACTTGAGTTTCTCTTTTGCTTGGTAAACAGCTGTTGCCTAATTTAAACAACATTAAAAATATATATATGATTTCTTAACTATATCATGTAAAGCTCTTGGCTTAGTTAACAAGACATTTGTGCACAAGAAAAATTTACAAAACTTGGAAATCTTCCAATTTATCTCTAATGGTCTGAAATACCACCTGATACCATTTATATCAGTTATATTTAAGGAAGGAAGGATTATATTCATGCACCAGTTTCCCACTCACAATAGTTTACAAACTATAAATTCATTTGCTAATTATTTTATTTCACATAGCATAAATATGCAGAAGAGATCCAGACCATTTATCATTTAAAAGCATCCTATACTTGTATCTAGTTCAAGGAAAAAGTACCCATAAAAATGTTTTTCTAGTAAAAGCATTCTAGATAATCAAGAGTACAAAGTCAGAAAGACCTAGGTTTAATTTCTATCTATTTTTTTAGCTTCCATAAGAAACTTAAGTAACCATTTAAAGTCTGGGTTTCTTTGTTCACATTTATAATGACACTGACTTTAAAAAAACTATTAGGAAGACTGAGTTAATACACAAAGAAGCTACCATCTAACAAAAAATTTTCTTCTAACGGTCCTGTGTTCATTCTCCGTAATTTAAAAAGTAATTTTTGGAAATCTAAAGAATGCAATCCAAAATGCAGAAGGAAAAAATTTTATCTGCAAAGATACTCACCAAACATTATTTATAATATAAACTTGGAAGAGGATACAATTGTATGGAAAATGTTTTCCAAATTTCTTCCAAATCACAACAGCTGAAAACACTCTCCTGAGTCTCAAAAAGCAAAAAGACCAAACAGTAAATACTGACACTGTATGAGCAACAAAACTAAAGGCAATTTTTCTTCCTTCTACTTCTCTGTATCTTCTGAATTTCCTTTTGATAGGTAAATACTAATTTCATAAGGAAAAATGTATTTTAATACACATATGTTTTGAAAGCATTTACTTGGGATTGTTTCCTCAGGAGGAGTTTCTAAGGTACCACGAACTATTAGAGCCTATTTATGAAGAGCCCATTTTGGTACACTTTCAAGAGGTTCCTCAAAGATAAGATGACAGAAATGTCCGGCTCTTAGGAAACTCAAACCCAGCTGTTTTGGTATGAAGGTCACCTGGCAGTTAGTCTTTAGTAAGATAACTAGGGCAGTAATGGCTACTAAACTGCCTCTGAAAGGGTAAGTGAGAACAAAGCAAAAACACATGTATTCCCTAACACATGTATTAATGCCATAGGCTTAAGAGGAAGACCAAATAAGTTAATGTAAATTTTAATCAATTTGTGAAATTAGTATATATTTTTTTGATTTCACAAATTTTAAAAACTCAAGATTTAGACCACTAATAATTAAAACTTGTATTACAGCAGGATAAAAGCAAAACTTTCCATTCGATACTTCAATATTGTAAAATCTTTAAATATGAAAATGTGCTTTAAAAGTTCAGACTGTCTGAAAATAAAATGTAAAACAGCAAAGGCTTTTCCTTTAACTACTGAAAATCTAAGAGATGAAAAAAGAGGGGAAGAAGAGGAAGAGATAGTAAAAAGAATTAAGGTGTCCTTGTGTATATGTGCTCTTCAGGTACAGTGTGTTTTCGCCACAATGAATATAATCATTATGTAACACATAGTAATAAAAACTAAAATTTAAAAACAATTCCTGACAGAATGTCACTTTTACACATGAAAGTACAGTTTTGTGCCCTTCATATTAGTGACAATTGGTTTATTTTTCAGCAACAGTTTAAATGCTGTTCTTGCCTTATGAACCGATCAACTTACCAGTATCTGTTCAGCTTCTTTTAGCTGTTTCTGCAGCTGCTGAATATCATTATCTCTCTTTTCTACTTCTTTTTCTAAAACTTGCATTTCATGATGGACTTTTCCCTGATTAAGTGCCAATTTCATTAGTTCCTGAAATTCCCCATCTCGGTGGATTAACAGCTCAAGAACCTGTCAGATAATAGTTGACCACATCAAAAAACAGAATATTAAAAGCCCACATTCCAACGACACAGAGAATTCATACATGAATTGCTGAGGCTATAAAATTTTAATACTTGTAAATCATTATTCCTATTCTTTGTTAATAAAGCTGGCAGGCATGTTCATACACACATGCAATCTCAGAACCAGGACGGGTAGAGTACAAAGCCAACTGTGGGCAACTCAACAAGACGCTACCCCGTTCATCAGATTCCTGCGCCCCCAAATATGTCCTAAGGGAAAACTAATCTGATGAGGCAGACGACAGGGAAGTCTATCACACACTGTCTTCTCCGCTAGTTTTCTTCTTTATTAAAAATATTAACCTTCCTAGTTCATTGTCTGTTTTTTCCTCCCACTATCTAGCTCAAACTGACCTAAAATTCACTATGTAGCCGAGGCTGGCCTCAAACTCTAAGTGATCCTGTGGTCTCAGCCACCCCAGTGCTGGGATGACAGGTGTGCACCCACCATGCCTGGCTAATTTTCTCTCTTCAAGAATTATGGTAAAATTAGCCAGGCGTGATGATACACACTTGGAATACCAGCACTCTGGGGGTTGGGGCAGAGGATCATTGCGAGTTCAAGATCAACCTGAGCTACAAAATGAGCTTAAGGCCAGCCTGAACTGCATGAGACCCTATCTCAAAAATACAAAAAAAAAAAAAAATACAAAAAAACAAATCTATTGAAAGGATTTTGCCCTGCATGGGAAGCTGTAGCGGTGGGAGGCTGGGAGGCGGAACCAAAGGGCTCTATCTTGAGGTCACCTTCCCCGCCCCCAGGCAATTTACCTGTGGCGCGAAATGAATTCCAGGGGGCTACCTGTGCATCAGTAAGCCCCTCAGGCTCCACCCAAACCTAAGCTATGTGTATGCCCCCACACCACGTGTGGGGCAGAGAGAAGGCCAGACCCCAGAGGTCATGCAGTCTCTCCACATTCTTAAAATAAAGGCCACTTTTATTTCATATTTCTATCTTTTTAGCCACGCTGAAAATTCTATCATATATATGTGTATATATATAGCATTTACTATAAGATTTATCATTCAATTGTCTGTGGGAAGCCGCCTATGAATGGCGCCCATTTCCTGCTTCCGGGTTCTTCCCGGCCTGAACAAGCCCACCAAATTGTCATGTCTGCCCAGTTACCCGTGACGCTAGCCTATCAGCTTGTTAGGCGCGCTTCTCTGTGATTGGATACTGCTTCCCCTTATAAGAGGTTGTTCCTGCCCCCAACGGCGGAAGAGGAATCAACACCAAGGGTGGCGGACCTTGTCAGGTCCGGTTCGCTGTACGTAATAAAGTTTGAGAGCTGATCCTGCTCGAGTTTGGTCTCCTGTCTCCCGCGGCTCCGGTCATCTGGTGGCCGCCCGTACGGGGAAAAAGGTAAAAGACTCAGCGACGTGCCTCTTCGGCCGGGAGGTGCGATTGCTGTCGCCTGCGGTACGACGGAGGACCTGGCCCAATAACAATGGAAGGCCGCGAGTGCCTCTTCTCTTCACCCTGATCAGCTACGTGAGATACAGCGGTTCCCGGGACAGGTGAGTACTGGGTCACCTGGGTTGGGTGGACGCACCTAACAGATTTTGAGCGCCACACGAGTGGACGCTGGGTTTTTTTTTCTTTTCTTTTCCCTTTGCATCTGTTTTGCTTTCGCTTCGCTAATACAGCCCGACAGGCTTTTGATAGAGCTCGATCGGAATGCTCAGAGGAGCCCGGAGCCACTGCCGATTGTGGGTCTCCGGAGGACCCTCAGGGCTCTAATTCTGATTCGGATTCGGAAGGCTCAGAAGAGGAGGTCGTCTTTGCTAAGCATGACCCTCCTACACCGTTAAAAGAGGAACTTAGGGCTCGGGAAGATAAAAAGGGGAACCAAACACCACCCTGCCCGAGCTACTCCGCCTTACGGGAAGAGCTTAAGCCCTTCCGCCCTTTGGCAAGTTCGCGACCCATGGTCACTCCTTTCAGGGCGCCAGGCCCCACTGCACCGCCGTGGCCGGAAGAGGAGTTGCTCCCTGGGCTGCCACCACAACCTATGGCACCGCCCTGGTTAGAGGGAGAGCTACTTCCTGGGTTGCCTTCTGCGCCCCCATCTGGGGAGGGAGGAGGACGTTCCTTCCACCAGAGGGTATGGTCGCGGCTTCCCTTTGAGTGTTCCGGTCTCCATGCATTCCCGGTACAAGTAGGAGGCAGGGGAGGAGGAGGATATTATGAGCCCTTAGAAATTAAACAACTTAAAGCTATCAAGGACGCAGTTTCAGCTTATGGGCCCAATGCGCCATTTATCATGGTGCTTTTAGAGGCATTGGCAGGTCTGCTTTTAACTCCTGGAGATTGGACCCAGCTGGCACGCGCCTGCCTCTCCCCCGGATTCTGTGTAGAGCAGGCGGCAGCCAACAGGGAAAATAACCAGAGAGAGTGGAACAGGGATATGCTATTAGGGCGAGGAACCTTTGAGGAAGATCAAACTCAATACCCTCGCCAGGTTTATGAACAAATTAGCCGCTGTGGCCTCCAGGCCTGGAGACGGCTGGCTGGAAAGGGAGAAAGGGCCACCCATGCTATTAATCATTGTCTTGCAGCCTGGGCTGCTTGGGGAAAGCCCAATATATTAAAAACAGACAATGGTCCTGCTTACACCAGCAAAACTTTTGTAACATTCTGTCAACAAATGGATGTTGTCCTTAAGCACGGCATTCCATATAACCCTCAAGGACAAGGCATCATTGAACGGGCACATCGGACACTCAAGGGTGTCTTACAAAAGCAAAAAGAGGGGATAGGCCACGGCCTAACGCCCAAAGGAAGAATATCATTGGCACTCTTTACCATATCATTCCCCTGCCATGGAGCACAATAACCCGTCCCCGGCCGACAAAGGGCTGGTGAGATGGAAAGATGTCCTTACAGGACAATGGATGGGCCCGGATCCAGTGGTTAGTTGGACCCGAGGTGCGGTTTGTGTCTTCCCACAGGAACCAGGCTGCGAACCGCTGTGGGTCCCGGAAAGATTGACGCGAGCAGTAAACTCCCCACCAGTTCCTGATAAAGCACAGGAAGATAAGCCCGCGGACACAAGTCAACTCGACCCTTCTGGGACCGACGCTCAGCGCCCGAGACCATCTACAAACTAAAATGTCTGGTTTGGAGCTTTTTCTATTCTGTGGGTTCCTATTAATCACCCCTGTGATATGCTCAGATTCCACAGAACCACCACAATATCTTTGGGGTCCTTGGCACCACCCGCCCACATTGGCACCTTTTTCGGCGGCCTCGCCCGCCTCACCCAGGGTTTACACCATCAATCAAACAGTCCTTGATTATGACCCACCCGCTTAACTCCGGTCGACCCTCCATTTCTCTTCCTTCTGTCCCACGATTACCTCTTTTTGGATCCTAATTGCCATGGCTATCCTAGTAGGGCTTGTGGTTATTAAATGCTTGTTAGATCGCTTCATACAAACTCAGCAGCAGGTTAAGATCACAGCTATGGCAGCCATGCAAATGGCAGCAGGTGGCCCATCAGGCCAGCAGGCCGCCGCATATCTCCTTCACATTGCAGAACATCAGCTATAAGAGCTGAGTGGGCAAGCCAATGACGGGTAAGACGGGAAAAGCCCTCCCGGTCAACCTAAGACAGGCTCCACTCAGATATACATGGCCTATAAGGCCAGGGGTCCCTTCTGGAGTCAAATTATTGGCATTGAGATGCGAGACCAAGGGTACTGCAGTGCCATCCGCCCCAAAGGTTGGGGGGAAGGCAGGAATGAATGTCTATATGCATCCAGGTTCGGTTCACAAAAGCCTGGCCCTGCGAAAAAATGAACCACTCACCTTGAGCATGGTCCTGGCGCAAGGATATGCACAAAACAGGGTGATGCACAGCAGGGTATAGACCTCTACATTCTCTCATGCCTCGGCCTATAAGGTAGGCCCACTCCTAGGTGTCTAACAGCAACAAGGTCATAGACACCTTGGAGGGACCCACAGACCATCCTATTTTAATAAATAAAAAAGGGGGAGATGTGGGAAGCCGCCTATGATGGTGCCCATTTCCTGCTTCCGGGTTCTTCCCGGCCTGAACAAGCCCGCCAAATTGTCATGTCTGCCCAGTTACCCGTGACGCTAGCCTATCAGCTTGTTAGGCGCGCTTCTCTGTGATTGGATACTGCTTCCCCTTATAAGAGGTTGTTCCTGCCCCCAACGGCGGAAGAGGAATCAACACCGAGGGTGGCGGACCTTGTCAGGTCCGGTTCGCTGTACGTAATAAAGTTTGAGAGCTGATCCTGCTCGAGTTTGGTCTCCTGTCTCCCGCGGCTCCGGTCAATTGTCTTTAAAAATTTCACAGTAGAAAATTTGATAGAACAAGAAAGTATAAGGAAAATAAAAAGTATCCACGTGGGTATAATATTTACACCCACAAGAAAACTTCTATTAACAGTGTTCTTTTATTTCCAGGTTTCCTGTTTTCAGGATGTTCTACGGAAAACAAACCTATAATTAAGTGCTAAATTTATAAGAATATTAACTTTAGATTCAACCTGCTGTTTTAATATTCATTTACCAAGACTTTATTGGTTCATTCAAAACATAAAAATGAATAAATGTGTAATTGTCACTAGAACTAAAAACACAAAAATAAAATTCTGCTAAACCCCTAGGAAACTTCTTCCTTAAGCGCAGTTATGTATGTGATATAAAAAAATTAGCAATTTAAAGTTTCAAGTAATACCTTCCTGTTCTCACACAAAGAAAATATAAGACAGGTATTACTGAGATTTTTGTTTGTTTATATAAACTGAGGTTTAAATCTTCACACTGGATCTTCACACTGAGCCCCCTGTACCCCCTCCTCTGCCTTTTTCTTTTTTTTTTTTAATTTTGGAACAGGCTCTTGCTAAACTGCCCAGACTGCATTCCAACTTGTGCTATCCTACCACAGCTTCTCGGGGACTCCCGAGGCTACCCAGGTGGAGTTTTGTTGTCATTTTAATTAATGGATCACTTACCTGGTTTTCCTCCCCAGCCTGTGACAACTTTTGGTTTCTTGAAATTGCTAGCATTTCTATAAGTTCCCTAAAAGAAAACAAACCAAGAAGCAAAACGTTTTACACAGTAAATATCATAGAAACTTTCTTAACTAGTCTCTGCCTGGTTCATTCATGGTACTACAACACGCTGGCTATCAATGGCTACTGCCCTCCGGTGCACTCAGCACCTCAGCTCTCACCAGCTGCTCCACACTCTTCCTGTAGAGCAGCTAGTGTTCCTTTTGAATTTATTTATACCATTTTACTTATTACCATAATTATATCAAAAAAAAACCTAAGCTGACTGCATGAACAGAAGTTTGCAAGGACAACTGTAAAGAACCAGGCAAGCCTGGTACCGATTAAAAAAAAAAAAAAAGAAGCAGGAAAGTCAGGAAAAGCCCGGAAAGGCTGCCTTCACAGCGCTTCCTGAGAGGGCTAAGTTCTCGTTTCACTCCTAAGCAGCCCAGGTAGAAGGTGCAACAGTGGATGAGTGACTTACACAAGGAGAACGCCTACCTCACAGTCTGCAGTGGCCGACAGCACACCTGCAGTTTGTAAATTAAGCTGATGGCTGATTTCCCTCTACAACAGTAGATAGAGGCAGGTAGTCATGGCAGAAACAAATATTTACAATCTGCCTCTTTACAGAAAAGCTTTCTCATTAATGGGATGACTAGTGAATGAAATATACACATTAAGGTGAAACAAAACAAAGAGTGCATGTGTCATCTTAATGATTTAATCATTCTCCACTTTATTAGCTTAACATCTATCAGCTAACAGAAATTCTTACACATAATAAAATTCCATCTTTCTAGAATACTCAATAGGTATATCAATTTTCCTATATGATAATTAGAATCATATATTTATGATTATGAAATATATGATTATATATATATATAATTATGAATTATATTAAATATATATATAATTATGAAAACCTTATCAAGAAATAGGAAAAATATGTAACAGGTGATATTTATATATCACTTTCAAACTTGCTGCTCAATGGTACATTTCAAAAGTTATCAAAGAGAGGAAAGCTTCACAACTACCTACCTGACATTGGTCTAGGTAGAACTAGTGTTTGTACCTTCTTGCTGGCTGCCAAAATATTTTACCTCTTGTATGTCTACCTTCTTTTCTGCAAGCTTCACATCATTTTTTCTGGATGGCGACAGTCAGACTGAACCCGTTCCTTACTACTTTTTCAAGCCACTATATATATATATATGAATAACTTAACTAATAAAAAGAGATATGGAAAGGCAAGGTCATTTATTCATTCATCAAATATTTATTGAGGTAGTTGTGATGCACCAGGCACTTCTAGATACTTATAGAAATGGAAAGTGACACAAATTCTAATACAAGAAACAAGAATAAATATAAGAAGAAATAAAACCAGAGTAATAAAAGTTGGTAAGAAAAAACAAGCAAAGAATTACAGTACAGACTGTTGGTAAAGTCGGTTGGCTACTTAAATTGAGTGGTTGGGAAATGCCTCTATACGGACACATCTTGAAGTAAGACACAAATGAAATAGAAGCCAGCTATGAGTCTAGGAGGAAGAATGCTGGGTGTTATGGTTTGTATCTACATGTCCTCAAAGCCTCAAAGCCATAGTTTTAGATGGGGCTTTTTCAGGTGATTGAATCTAGAGTATATGAGTGATTCGTGGTGCAATGCTAGAATTAAGGGCGGCGACTTCTGGATCACTCCACTCACGGACTGGCACTGCCCTAACCCTGGTAGACTGGATACAATGCAAGGGACAGTAAGAGGCCTGCCTCCCCCTAAGCTGCTGCTCTCGCTGTCATCTGCCATCATGAACCGTTTGTCCCCTGGGAGGCCTCTCTGCCAAGCCACCCTGCCTTGGACACAGCTGGTTATGGGCTGAAACCTCTCACACTGTGAGTTAAGTAAACCTCTTTGCTTTTAACTTCAGACACCAGGTATTTTGTCTCAGCAACTAGAGAAAAGTAACTAAGACACTGGGCAAAGAAACAGGTACTAGTTCTGAGAAGCTGCGGCAGTACCAAGGAGAGGAACACAAGGTAAGCCAAAGGTAGGCAGGGAGTAAGGCTCTCCAACAGTACAGACAGATCAGTGCTTCATTCCACGTGGAGTAAGTCCCCGGGTCACTTTAAAGAAGAAAATGACATGACCTGATTTACACTTTTAAACAGTCACTGAGCTATTTGCTGAATTAGTTTTAAGAGCACCTGAATAGGTACAAAGCAAGGTGTTTGTTGTTGTATTCCAGGCTAAAGATGACAGTGGCTTTGATTCGGTCCTAACCGCTAGGATTTACTCATAAAAATGGAGGAACATGAATAGATTCTGTATACATTTGGAGATAGAGCTGACTGAACTTGTTGATGAATTAAATCCACATTGCATGAAAAGACCATGTCATCTGAACCTTCTTCTGTACCCTGGAGAGACATGGCCAAGAACTTCTCTGGTGTAAGGAAAAGCTGGACTCAGGGTAATGACAGGGTGTGGCAGTGAATTAAATCTTTTTCTTTTTAAACAAATCTCTGAGTCCAAATTCACAGGAAGCCTTACAAGGCTTGCACTAGGATACGCCAGAGAAAAGACTGTAAGATTCAGGCAGCTTTTTAGCAGTCTCTGGACAAAGAGACTGTCTTCCTTGCACTGTGAGAAGAGGCCAAAGGAATCCTACAGGCTCATTCTGGTTACAATTGTGAAAATAAAGAGCCCGACTCTGCCACCAGAGACATATACCTCTTATTCTTAATTAGAATCCAACCACACTTTCCCCACAGAACCGTAACTTACATAGGCCTTAGAACCTGTGGTACTACCCTTCAGGTAAATTATAGGTAAAGAGAATTAACTGGCTGTGTGGAAACCTCCGGATGTCTACCAGGATGGATGGTTTCTAGAGGACAGTAAGTTACAAACAGATTTAGAAATCAAAGTCTAAACGTCAGCACTTAAGAGAGGTTGATGCAACAAAACTATAAGTTCAAGAATAACCTGAGCTACATAGCCATGCTGTCTCAAAAAAAAATGTCCATAATCTATGCCCCACCCCCCTTTTTTGTACTGGGGATCTAACTCACGACCTTGCACTTACCAAGCAGGCACTTGAACTACTGAGCTAAATCCCTGACCCTGTGTCCCCAACTTTTTAAATTCCTCCAAATACCACTCCATTCTATTACATTTACAAAGTAATAAAAATACTTACAAGCTATAGATATATAACTGGGTGACAGCAAAAATTTATCCTAAATTTCAAATCCATTATTTTTTAAAGTTGAGGCCTGACATAAAGATATGTAAGGTATACCAGTGATCTCCTCTTTCTCTTTCTTTCTTTTTTTCTTTTGCAGTGTTGAGGATTGAACCCAGGGCCTTGCACATACTAAGCAAGTAGTCTACCACTAAGCTTTACCTACAGCCTCATTTTTCTTAAAACACAAGCCACACACAAACTTCATTCAGAAGATAATGACAAATGTCACAGATCATGAATAAGTTCATGTAGCTATGTTTAAAGGAGCACATAGTGGAACCTGCTAAATCAAGCACAATGGAGCAGCTTCACTCTGCAGAGACATTTCAATGACCCTTAGGAAGCAAACAATCTTGTCTTCTCTACCACTACCACCAACCATTTTCAGGGTCACAAGAGGTAAATTTTCACTTACCTATTGTCAGCCTCTATGCATAAACAAATAAAACAACAGAAAACAAATCACCTGAAAAATCGAAGAAAAACAAAACAAACCACCAATACAAAGGTTTTTAATACAGAATGCAAAGTGCCTCAAATAAGAAGACTATTGCCAATCTGTTAAATTAATGACAATTAATCTTTTTGGTATTCCTGGAGAAAGGACAACATAACCAAAGCTTCCTTCACAGAATGCTCTTGAACCCAGCATTTCAGCCAATTATATAAAATTAAAGAGCTGCAGTAGAGAGTTTCAGAAACACATAGGATTCTGAGGAAACTATAAATGATGATTTACTACTTAAAGCATCAAATAATTTCATCAAGCAGGACATACTATACTGATAAGTCACCTAAGTCACTTAACTGTGTCCTCTCAAGTACATGAAGATCATGTATATACAATCCTACAGGTATTGACAGCTTCAGAAAAACACTACAGATACAAAGCCCAGCAGCCAATTAATCAAAGGCAAGACCTCAAACTGACTAGTGAATTGTCAAATGTCAAAAGAATCTCAAAATCTTTTCCTTACATGGGAAGGCTTATAAAAACAGAAAGGTAAATTATGGAACAAGTTAAGTTCAGAAAAGAATTTCCAGGGCCAAAGTAGAAGAGGGAGCTCTTGTGGTGTACATGATTGCAATTCTTTAGGAGGGGAGGCTAGAGAAACACAAAATTCAACCCAGCCTGGGCAGCTTAGCTACATAGTGAAACCCTGTCTCAGAAAAAACAAAACAAAAGAAACATTGTTTTTAAAGGGCTGGCAATGCAGTTCACTGATAAAGCCTCCCTTCCCAATGTAAGGGGGGAAAGGAGGGGAGCTGGTTTTGAGAAGTAATAGTTTTGTGAATACAGCAAGACAAGATTTTAAATTCTAAGAATGGCACTCAGCAAAAATACAACAGCTATTTCCTAAAAACGGTGAGACTTCCTTCCACAAGCAATATATTTACAGAAAAATTAACCACTACCATCCATAACAGACGGTTGGTCAAAATTATCAAACAATAAAGAATAGTGTGACTCAACTAATAGCCCTAAGCTGCCTCATCAAGAGTCTTTAGCAAAGATGTTAAGAAGCCAAACAAATATTAGATATGGTCCTCAGATAAAAATTCTTCCAGGTTGGACCGGGAATTTAGCTCACGTGCCTAAGCGCCTGCCTTGCAAGTGTGCAGTCATATGTTCAATCCCTAGTACCAAAAACAAAAACCAAAATTCTTCCAGGTAAAGAAATAGCTCAAGAGAACAAGCAGAAAAACCAATTCATGCAAGAGCAACACACGTATTTTCCAATTAGTTGTTCTGAATCCACTGAAATAAAAATTTGCATCAGAACTACATGGTCTCTTCAAGGTACTTCAGAGACTGAGTCTGGTTGACCAATGGATCTAAAAGCACTGGTTAGATTAAGCATGTGGATTTTTCCAAATAATAGTTCTATTTGAAAGAGCAGTGGGCTTGGCAACATTTATGGATGTTAACCTGTATTTTAATAATTTACAAAGAATAATTTAACATGAAGTAAATGAATTTTCAGTGACACCAAAGATGGTCAGGGAATAGAACTATAATTTAACTGAAAACACTGTACTTCAAATGTTCCATCTTCCTGGTATCTTTTTACTAAGAAATAATGTGGGAACACACCTAAGAGGATTTAGCTACTTAGAAAATTAACACATTCTCCATCACAAACAACAAATTCAGCAAACAAAAGGAAGAAAATAGCATTTTATGAATCTATATAAACATGTACACAGATGCAATGCATTAAGACAGCTGCCTTGGAGCTGAGGTTTTTTTGTTTGTTTGTTTGTTTTTCATACTGACCACTGGCTGCCTGAAAATTTCAGTTAGTGGTATCTGAATCTAAAATAGTTTAAACAATGGACTGGTGCAACCCAGGCTGAGGTTGAGGCACCAGTTTGAGGTCAGTTTAAGATACAAAGTAAGACCTGGTCTCAAACAAAAACAAAATAGATTAAATGATTGATTGCCCTGAACATGAAGAAGTACAGCTAGCTTTTCTTGTGGAAGTATATCTAGCTTAAGGGTAGAAAATTTCTGGGAAATGTATCATTAAATGATTCCGTCATTGTTGAAGCTGTATGAGGGGAAATCCAAGAATGTGATAAGCACAGTATAAATTAGGTAGCTGCTGGCATAAAACAGCACACTCTTTCATAGTAAAATTTTTCTACAAGTAAGAGGACACTCTAAAACAATGATAAAATGTCTAGCAAATACATAAACCAGTATCGAGGTCTTATTATCAATTATGTGCTGTAGACAATTATATATGCCATACTTTTCAACTGGCATTGTAGTAGGCTCACACCAGTATTCTATGTTATAATGACCACAGACATTTTGAAGCTCCATTTTAATCTTATGGGTCCACCACTGCATACCCCTGTATCTCGTAGAGCTGTATGACTGTCCTCACAGAGGCGAAGGGAAGGCAGAAAGGAGCAGCAGCAAATGAAGACAACAGGATGGAGTGTGAAGAAACAGAGAACGTCTTTACTGCGCATTCAGCTAAGGAATTTGCATTTTATCTCCTTGGACAACAGGAATCTACCAAATATTTTTCAGCAGAAAAGTAGTATAAGATGCCTTTTAAAACATCAGTTCTGGGGCTGCCGATTTAGCTCAGCGGCATAAGTGCCTGCCTTGCAAGCAGGCAGTCGTGAGTTTGATCCCCGGTACCGGTAAAAAGGAAAAAGACAAAAAAAAAAAAAAAAAAAATTAGTTCTGTTTTTCTGCAACATGGATGAATAAAGTGAAAAAGCATGAAGGAGAGTAGAACTGTTGGGAGTCTGCATTTAAGAAACAGTTATGACAGATCTGAGCAGCACTGCAAGTGGGAGAACCAATGCATTTTTATACCTGAACTGAGAGCATTAAGGAAATATCTTACTTGAAAGACTGACCATGAAAGACAGTTGAATATGGAGAACAGGCACCCAATTTCATCTCATTTCTTTACCACAAAGGCTGCCCTCCGGTCCTCCCCAACAACTGCTGGGTAACAAGAGCAATTCTGCTGGGTAACAAGTCTGGTGAACTCATTCTTTCTAAACAGCCCTTTCTTCAGGAAGCCTCCCCTGATTATAACCGGAACAGATGTCCCCATGCTCCATTGCCCTGAAGCTCACCGCTCATATCAAAAAGGGCCCAGCGCCACGGCTTACACAGTTAGCTCTTCTGACACTCGACTCCTCCACGATGGCAACCAGTCGCCCCACCACTAAAGTCTTCCCGAGTTTGGTACTCAGGAGGTGTTCCTTAAGTGCTGGCTAAGTGTCCGTGGAAGAAACAGGTTCAAACCTAGTGATTTCTTACGTTCCGCGATGGCTGTCTTTGGGCTGCAGAATCACTGTCGTACCAAAATATTTTCTAACGGGAAAAAAAATGCCGCCCAGGGTCCCAGAAGGTTTGCGAACCCCAAGTCTAGGAGACTGGGGCCCCACTGGCATCGAATTCGACCCTCCCCGCCGAGCTCCTGAGACCAACGCAAAGGCAGAGCGAGTCGGTTCCGAGTTGGTCCCCGCCCCAGAAAGGCCCTAGCCGGGTACTCTGGCCCGTAGCATCACCTTGACAAGACCTCCAGATCTTCAAGTGCAGACAACAGTCGCTCCCGCGTACTGTTACTACCTGCCGAGGCAGAGCTGCCTCCAAGCCGTTCCTTCTCCTTCTCACCGCTCGAAGAAGCCGCCATGCTTCCAGCAAACCAGCAGCTTCCGCTTGCGCAGGGCACGCTGGGTACGAAGAGGCGGAAGGAAAGGTCAGCGAGGCAAGGAGTAGAGCGGCCTACACAGAGCGCCCCCTGAGCTCCTGGAGGTGCACTGCAGGCGCCGGCGCCGGCGACAGCGCCATCTGCTGGGTCAAAGAGGGCTTCTCCGGTACAATCTCGGAGCGACCTCTAGACGGAGAACAAGAGTGCAGTGCAGTGGGGTTCTCCTGAAGCGTCTGTTTTTCAGTAGCTTCAGGAGGCTGCTAATAAATGCATTCTAAGTAGCTGCGCGAGTTACCTCATGAACAACCAGTTTTTTGTCTTGAGATCTTTGCACTGGTTGTGAACCCATGGCACACGTGTTGGAAGGCGGGGCTGGTTGTTACAGTAAAAGCTCTAAAAGGTTTGTCATCACTGTTGGCTTCTCCTCAGGATTAACCTCTGTTGTCTGTATTTCCATAATGTTCTTCCGCCTTCCTGTTGACCTCTTGTAGATGCTTAGTAAGTGTTTTAGGACAAGAACCAAAAACCTGCTTTCTCAATTCTTTATCATAGCAATGTAAAACGTGCCATCTTTAATCATTTTAAGTGCAGAGTATATTAATACTGTTAAGCAACCATCCATCTCCAAAAACAATTTACATCTTCCCATAGTGATGCTGTACTCATGAAACCTAACTTCGCATGCCAGCCTTCTACCAAGCCCCCGGCAACAACTACTTTCCTCTTTGTTTTTATGAGTTAGATTAGGTACTTCGTATGAGCACAATTGCGGTATATTTATCTTTTTTGTATCTGGCTTGTTGTGCTTTCATAATGCCCTTAAGGTTCGTCCATGTTGCTGCATGTTGCTGAATAACACCCTATTTTACATATATATTATTTCACTCATCCGTTCATGGATAATGGGCACTTGAGTTGCTTCCACCATATTTGTAACTCATTTTTGTACCTTACATCTCACAATGAAATAATGAGTCAATATAGCATGTGAATGACAGTTAAGAGGTGTAAAGAATTTTTTTTTATTTTGAAGGTAGTAAAATACAACAGAATAAGACAGAACAAAGCCAATCAAGATAATGCAGTGAAATTGGTACAGAACTTCACAGCAGGATACCGGGATAACAGTAATAGGTACCACAGTATATCTCGTTGTCTTCACAAGAGTTGTCCATTCAGTCAGGAGATAGCACACACTGTGTGTGAGTCGGCTTTCCATCACTATGACAAATTGCCTGAGAAAAATATTCTAAAGGAGAAAAAGTTTTATTTTGACTGCTGGCTTCAGAGTCCACGGTCAGTGAGCTCCATTGGCCTGTAATGAGGCAGAAGCTCCATGGCAGAGGAAACCCGCTCACCTCATGGCAGCCAGGAAGCAGAGAATGGCAAAGAGGAAGGAGATAAAGAAAAACATACTCATTACAGCCAGGCACTTGGCGACCTGCTTCATCCCGTTAGGCTTCATCTCCTAAGAAGCTCATTTATCTACTAATTCATCAGTGAATTAATCCATTGATGAAGTTAGAGCCCCTCCCAAACCACTCCTCTGAACACTTAGGTAACTAACGCCTTACACGTGAGTTTTGGGGCACATACCATGCTTAAATCATAAGACATTCCAAATCAGAACTAGGCATCAAAGTAAAAACTGCACCTTAGCCCACTATTCCTGGAGAAAGCAATGTAGCAAGTGTCTTTTCCTACCAGGAAAATCCAGAGTCTGTCAACCCCATTCTGAAGGGTTCTGCACTATGCTATGTAGATTTTACAATGAGATGCAGATGCCACGTACAGATAGCAGCTGGCAATGGTGCCCATGCTGCCTGCCTTCATTTTAGGTTCCAACCTTTCATCTGTCCTTTGGAGCCTGATTTTTTCTGGGCTCCAGAATGGAGAATTCCTTAACAGGCTCATATTGAATGAATTCATTCATAGCAACAGCTATATAATCCAAAATGCCAATTTATTTACTTAAAATGAAGAGAGATAATGCTATCTGCATTTTCTCTCACAAGCAAACCTACATGGGAAGCTAATTATCACTAGAAAGTCATTTGGTAAACTTCAGTTAGAATGAATAAAGATAGATTTTATTTAAAACACCTAATGCCTCAGTCTGAAGGCTAAGTATCTCTACAGTGTAGTTGTTTGTGTTAAAGAGATTGAAATGTTTGTGTTCATAAGTCAAGATGGTTCCTCCCCTGCACAAGGCAAGAGATCCACTGACACCTCTTGTTTTCTGGTTATTTCCCATTACTGTTTCCTGCTAATTCCTTCTATTAATGCAGTCAGTTCTCAGGCAATGAAATGAATTAGATTCAAGCTTTCTTTATTACAACTGCATTCTAAATATGCCTCTCAATACACTAGACAATAATTTCTTATGTTAAGTTTACAGGATGTCAAACTCCTGCAGCATGTGTTGATTTTGTTTACTCAGCACATACAAGGTCACTTTAGACCATAATTCTGGTGGAGGGAAAAATCATACTAGTGTGGCTTCTACTGAAACATTCTAGTCAATTAAAACAACCAATTACAAGTGCTACTTTGCAGGCACTGAGAATCAGTGTATGAAACATATTTGTATTGTAAACTCTAGACCTCAGATTGATTGCAAATTCGTATGCACACTAAAGAATGTCTGTAGACTCATAAGTAATATCATTCCCACAGATACACTCTCATGCAAATTGTACAGAGCCTGGTATGATGAACAAAATACAAGTTATCTTATAAAGTATTACTGAATTCATTGTAATTTCAGGTGTTAAGTACTTCCTTAATCTATAGATTCCAAGAGGCTACTACTGTCTTGTGAAGTTTTATTTACTTAACATGCCAAGGGACTAGAGATAGAGCTCAATAGTAAAATGCTTTCCTAGCATGCCTGAAGCCCTGGCTTCAGTCCCTTCTACTAAAAAACAATTCAAAATCAAAATGCTAGGAACTATTTTAAGCACTTGAAAGTATTAATTCATTTAATTTTCATGACACTCTCAAGAGGTAAATATTGTTAGTATCCCTATATTAAAGTTAATGAAACAGGGATTAAAGAAATTAAACACACACTGGCATCACGCAGTAAGTAACAAAGCTGGGGTCTGAATCAAATCTGACTCCAGGGTCTGTGCTCTTTACCACTGATTATCCTGAGTCTCAAAAAAGAAAGAGGTGTCTTCTTGTACTGAGAAAGAACTGAGAACTTATTTATCTGTTTATTTATTTTTGGCACTGGGAATTGAACTCAGGACCTAGCACTTGCCAGGCAGGCACTGTACCACTGAGCTGTACTCCCAGCTTGAGAACTGCCATCTAAAATACAAATGCTGCCAAATCCACATCTTGGAATTCTGAGTCTAAAACAACCACAATGCCTCATGAAGAGTTTTAGGGGTACAACAAGAAACCCAATCAAATCCGTCCTTAAGAATCAGTATAGTAGATAGTTGGAACCGCTGTGTGATTTTTGTTGAAATTACTTTTTTCTTTTTCTCTTTGTTTCCTTAAGTTACTTTTAATTTTCACTGAGTGTCATATACACATAGTTTAAAAGTCAAATTTCTCAAAAAGCTAGAAAAAAGGGTTTTGAGTGTTTTCACCATAAAAAAGATACATTTTGACATGAATTATTTACAACTTGATTTAAATATTATACAATGTATAACTATATCAAAATATAACATATCATCCCATTAATATGTATAACATTTTGTTTTCATACATCAGTTAAAAATAAATTTGATTTAATTTAAAATAATAAATAATTCTGAACTTTGGAGAGAAAAATAAGAGTCTTCAAAAGCTTCTAATAAAACCAAAAATGGTATCTTCCACCTCCTCCCACAAACCCACATGCTAGCAAATTCCTCTTCTTAGAGACAACTATTCTCAATATTTTCAATTGTTTCTTTCATTATTTGCTATCATACTTTAATTTTTTCCAAATCCCCTTTATTTCAAGGAGAAAAATAAAAAAAAGAAGAAAACAAACTAAAATAAATTTTCAAAACACGTCAATCGGGGGCAACAATGGTACACGCATTGCGCGTTGTCTTCCTCACATCATTCACCCAGGACACAAGACATCTGCATTCAATTGTCCGAACAACACCAGCACAAATCTTTCTCTTCAGTGAACTCAGAAATAAGTAGTATACTTATCCTAAGTATTTTATATACATATATATATATACATGATATACACATATGTTGTTTGTTCCAGCTTCTCTCACTAGTGAGACGATATCATGTTTATATATGTGTGTCTTATTTGTTTCACTTATGGGTATGGTCTCAAGTCGCATCCATTCACCTCTAAAAGTCTCCAATTTGTCCTTCTTTATGGCTGAGTAGTACTCCATTGTATAAAAATACCACATCTTTTTTATCCACTCCTCAGTGGATGGGCATTTATGTTGTGTCCAAGATCTGGCTGTTACAAATTGTGCAGCTATAAACATGGGTGCACATATATTGCAGTGATGCGGTTTTTAAAATTCTTTTGGGAAGGTACCCAGAAGGGGGATAGCTGGGTCAAATGGGACCTGTACTCGTAATTTTGGGGGGAATCTCCACACTGATTTCCACAGTGGTTGCACCAGTCTGCATTCTCACCAACAGTGGAGAAGGGTTTCTTTTTCCCCACAGACCCTCCAGCATTTGTTATTGCTTGATTTCTTGATAACAGTTGTTCTTTCTGGGGTGAGGTGGAATTTCAGTGTTGTTTTAATTTGCATCACTCAAATGACTAGTAATGTTGAGCATTTTTTCACATATTCATTTGCTATTTGTATTCCTCACCTGAGAAGTGCGTATTCATTTCAGATGCCCATTTTTTGGTTGTTACCCTATTTTTAACAATATACATATATTCTAGATTTCCACTCAACGTTTTATATGTGTATTTTTAAATAAGTTTGTCTTACTTACTATTATGAATAAGGACTTTGTCTCATTCATTCATTCCTTTTCCTTTCAATAGTGGATTAAATCAATCAGTGCTTATGTTACTACACTATTATTTATATATAGCTATATAGCTATTATTTAGGATAAGAACTATCTCTGTAGACAAGAACAAAAAATGTCTAAAACATCAAAGCGTGCGACACTCTGTGGAAACTTTATGTTATGTTATGTGTTTACCTGTGCATGTACTCTAGGAGGTCAAATGTCAAATGTACTTTTTACTGTGGATGAAAGGTTTGGAATCTTTGGATATAGGTCTTCTAAAGAGGTAGTTAAGTTAAAATGAAGGGTGGGTCTCTAGTCCAAACAGACCAGTGTCTTTGGAAGAGGAAGAGACAGAAAAGATATGTATGCACAAAGAAAAGACCCTGTGAGGACACAGAGAGACAGTGACCATTTGCAATCCAAAAGGACAGATGTCAGGAGGACAAAAGTCTACTCACTCCTTGATCCTGGATTTCTGATTTCCGGAACTCTAAGAACATACACATCTGTGGCATAAACAAGCCAGGCTGTGGGGTTTTGTTAGGATACACAGGGGCGCGTGGCAGAGGAGTCTGGAGCTCCCTAGGCGCTGCTCACAGAGTCTTCTTGCCCCTCTTACCTCCATCATGATTGTCTTCTTCCCTGGCAAGGCCACACACTGGGGTAAGAGCAGCTTCCTCTCCTGCCTGCCTCGCCCAGTGCAGCCAAAGATGGCTAAGGAAGCGCGGGTGAGCCACCTGGCACTTCATATTCAGATCTACAAACCCAAGGTCTCCAGTCGTTCCTTAAAGCTACTGAGCAATGACATTTTGTGTCACTGTTCAGTTCGCTTCCATTCTCAGTATAATCTCACACTGTTTCCTCTTTCTAAACACCCAGCGTCTCCGTTCTCCTTCTCTCATAAGCCTTAGTACCTTGCTTCACTTGACTGAGAATAAAAGGGATCAGAAGGGAGCGCTTCTGTGGCCGGGTGCCATCGTGTTCACCACCCACCCACACTGCACTCCACGTTCTGCAGTCTCCTCGGTACACGAAGGTCCCTGCAACAGGTCGGAGAAGTCAGGCCTTGCAGGGGTGACTCAGAGCCCCTGCCAGGGAACTGAAGCTGTGATTGCAACACTGGGTTAGTTATTAGAGCAGGCCCTTCTCTCTCCCTGGTGTGTCCTCCCATTAATCTGGACTCTTCAGCCTTCAGAACCATGAAGCAAATTTCTGCTCATCACAAATCACCATTCCTGGGTATTCTGTTATAGCAGCACAAGATGGACTGACTCAGCCTCCTTCACATCTGCCCACTAACTGGCATTGCCCTGGACATTTTGCGGCTTGTCTACTGTACATGAAGACAATGAGAAAAATGGCATTAATAAATGTTGAATTTATTGTTGACGGAGATGCTGAAGTCACTGAAGACTGGGCACAAAATAGGATAAAAAGACACTGAAAACAAACTGTAACTATCTGCAATGGCAAAACCCGTATGTCAATGTTTTTCCTTCATATTATCCTTGAGATACTTAATCTCAAAATGTTTAGAAATTCCAAAAATGTTTAGAAACCTCAACTAAAAATGGAATACTTCATCACTATGGTAGTGAATACCATTTCTGAACCTTGTAATTCAAGAAACGAAATCAGCTAAGCTTCTAATCTGAAAGCTCCCTTCCCTAGTGAGTTATCAATGTAAGTTTAAGGGTCCATGTTCAAGATCAAGGATGAAATGGATAGTCAGGATCAAGCATTCTTCTCATTGTAGTCATCAAGCAGAAGAGGGAAAGCAAGTCCACCGAATTCATTACCCGCTTCTCCAAGAACCAAAAACCTTGGCACACCACCCGAAGGAGTGGGCCCCTGAGCTCCTAATTCCAGGCAGAAATACACCTGGTGCAGGAGCAGACTAGGTATCATGAACCACCATTTCTGGTTTCTGAAACATGTCACCTTTCAAAAAGCTACTGGGGACAAATGGGAGTTTGCTGTTTTTAGAACAGTAACTTCAGTCTTCAAAACAATTATGATTCTATTTCAACTGCTTTTAATAAGCCGCGTTATCTTGGTTAAATCCAGCTGGAACTGCTCTGCATCAAGAGAAATATCTCTGCTTGAATAAGAACCCCTGCCACCTTTCCTTCTCATCCCAGTTACACTCCGAAGCTGTATCAAAAGATCCCCATGTCCTCATTTCAAACACACACACACACACACCAAACCTCTCACTGTCCAAAATGTCTCAGTGTTAAGTCACTAACCCTGTTGTAAATGTGGCACTTGACTTTAATTCCCTACATCCCTTTGCCTTGAGAACAAAAAGACAGGTTTAAACCTTTCATTTCCTTTAAGTATTTGTGATGTGGTTTTAATAGACAGGTCTTTTGAATTAATCAAACCTAAAAATAAAGTTTTATCTTCTCCCTAAAATTTTCCAGACATCATTAACACTTGTCAGTAACTCAAAAGAAAAAAAGTGGCCTCTTTTGATAAATGCATTAATTTTCCAACAAATATTTATTAAACTCCATTTATGAGCCATGGATGTTAGGTGACAAGAAGACTCACAGAGAGAGAGAGAGAGAGAGAGAGAGAGAAGAGAGAGAGGGAGAGAGAATCATTAGCAAGAAAACTAAAATATTTCATCAAGATCTTAATTCAAATGTGTAGTGAGAAAGTCCTCACCACAGGTAGACTCGTCTCTTGATCTTGGATTTCCAGCCTCCTGAATCATAGCCCAGGTGTGTGGTATTCTGTTGTAGAAGCACAAGATGACATAAGATAGTTACAGGCTGCTGGATGCCTTCAAAAACTTTCTGGTTTCAGAGACTCAATCAAGAATTTGATTGCTCTTAGCCGCTGTCAACCAAAAACATAATGCCACTGGATACAGATGATTAACCAGTACGATAGCATCGTCTAACCCACATGTCTTCATGGGATAGACAGGGAGCTCATGACAAAATTTGCTAACTTCAAATTCATGAATTTCAGATACCATTTCTTATTCTTCTCATTCTAATGTTCTAAGCAATAGCAAAACAAAACAAAGAAAAAGAAGTTTGATGATAAAGAGTAAAATTGTGTACACAATAATAGCTTTTGCATAGAATGGTGCATTTTTCCTCATGGATCTCACCCATGTTTTAAAAACCTTAACAACCATGTATGTGCAGTTTATTAAAGTTGTTGACTTAAGTAGCATTTTAATGTGATGGTCAATTTTATATTCGTTTCAACTTTTGTTTTCTTCCAGATCAAAATATTTGCTTTGGCTTATTAAAGGAGATTTCCCAGAAAAAGTCTCCTTTTGGCTGTTAGCGCTTGAATTTACTTCCTGTTCTCTAGTTCTGTGGAGACAACTCAGGAAAGATTGACTGTATCTTTGTGTTGATTGTTTGTTTTTCATTTCCTTGCATTCAAATCTGTTTGGTTTTTGTGTGTTGACTTCTCACACGACAGACATTTGCTTGATAAATGTTTACTGATTTGATTTAATTTTAAAAAAGGACTATGAGCAAGACAATCCAGTTTAATTGGCCAAATCTGCTCCAGATTGTCTTAACCTTGTTACCGAATGTTTATCACAATCCAGAAAGTACTACAAAACTATGTGCAAATGAGTCACTGTATCTCCCCAGAAAGACACAGAGATAAACATCGAAGTGCCAGGAAATGAGGAACCGAATCCACCTCACAACCACCGAATTTCCAGCCCATTTAACCTTCTTGATAGCTACAGCATCAGCATTTCCCATTTTTTCATTTACTTTCAAATGTGTCCAATCTCGTATTACCTGATTCTTACCCCTGCCAAATTTTTGCCATTATAGGCATGAAGATGAATTTACTGCTAAATGTTTGAGTAAAGCAATGAGGTTAAAGGAGGCTTCTTGGCACTTGTCAAGGGAAAACAGTGGCTTCTTTGTCCTTTCAGAGTCTCTGGGGCTTGGCCCTTGCCTCTTCTTGGATAACATGTTGCTCTTCAACATGCTGGGCTTTTGCCAGTTCTGGTTCTCAAAACTTAGCATAAATTATTCTCTTTGATCAAACTGGACGCAGAGACGAACACAGTGACTCCCTGTCCTCAGCTGTTAGGCGTCTAGAAAGTTGCGCACCCATTTTGTGAATATAACACCTGATATAAAATTTCTAATTACAGACACTGAATTCACTCTCCTAGGAGATCTGAAACTGCACGCTCTGCTTTTTGTCAAGACCTTTTATTTTTATTGGAAAGCTCTTGACAAATGTTGGCCACATTTCACTCTGTCTGATCCATGCTTTTTATCTCTTCTCACCCAGACAAATGCAAAATGCTCCATTTGCTGGATGACCAGGCATTCTTCTTCCAAGATCTGCTTGAACACAAAGCTCCACCTCGTCAATGTGCTATGCACATGCCCCAGAGGTAGTTCTCAAATTCTGGCAGGACTATTAGGACTTTTTCAACAAAGTCCTTACAATTTCAGATGGAGTTTAGGTAATTTGATTTTAGAAGTGTCAGTGGCTCTTCTGTAAGTCTTTGGGCTTCAAACCTGCAGAGCATTAAATGCCAGATCAGATGTGGAGCAGTGGAATTATATGCAAACATCACTGGCAAGTGACCATTATGGCAGATGCATATTTAAATCTGTTTGCAAAGACTATACCTTTTGCATTTTAAGGTGTCGGTCAGTACATTTTCACCCCAGCATGGCGAAGAGCTCGCCCATGTCTATTATCAAGGACAATCAGGTGGAAAAAGTCCAAAGATTACAAAAGTTTAATCTATCTTCTTATCACAAGTAGTACTTGGTTTTCTTGTAGTTTCAATTTGGCAAGTTCAATAGAGACCTGAGTGGGTTCAGGTGACCCCTGGAAATAGGAAAGAAAACAAGTTTCTGGGACAACCCTGAGCCCTGAGCCATCGTGGGAAAAGGTCAGGGTTGGAGGTGAGGCGGGAGAGACGGCAGGATCCTGGGGAAGTCTGCAGGACAAAGCAGTCTCCACACTAGCTCCATCAGAAGAAATCAGTGTAGATTAGGTCTTACAGTCTCTTTTATGCATCCTCTTAGGAGACTAAACATAATGGTAAGAACTGAAGAAAATTCAGACAAAAAGAAATCTTATGCCTGACTCTGAGCATCAGCCTTGCTGTTTGTCCATTTGTTCATTTACTGTATGTACTGCAGAACTATTGTATGTTCTAGTGAATAACAGAGGATGATCGAAATAATTCCTTGCCTCCTAGATCTTACTAGAGAAAAATGAAGCATTAGTAAGTATACCAGATAATTTTTAGTTAATAAGTGTTATCCAGGAGTGACAGCTGCATTATATGGGGGGCCCCACGGAAGGCCTCTCTGAAGAGGGCAAAGCTCTAGGTGAGAATGAAAAAAATAAAGGACGACCTTCCATGTAAAGGTATAAGAGAATTTGGAGCAGAATAAATACCAGACAATGAAGGCCTGGGGAGGTCTGAGAAGCAGGAAGGCTGGAGCCTAAGGACAGAGAGTTGAGCAGCCACAGAGGCCTCGTGGTGCAAGAACTGCAGATTATGGCAAGTGGTTTATGATTTTATTTTTACTGGACGAGAGTGAAGAGAGCAGCATCACTGCTTTGAGCTGAATGCTGTGGGAGACCGAATCCTACTACACTCATTTAACACACAGCTCCCCTCCCCACAAAAGTGAACAGCAACAACAAAATCCTGTTTCAGCACTAAATAGTTCAGTCACGTTCTCTTTCACAGTCCTCCTTAAGCTGCATAAGTTAGGATTAAGGTACATCTATTTGTCTTAAATGTCCCTACCTGGCACAAGGAACCCGTGCTGGGGCCTTTACTCATTTATGAAATATTTATTGAGTACAATGGCATTTGTGAGATGTAACAGAGAGACAGTGAGACAGTGAGCAAATCAGAGTTATAATCTACCAAAGAGCCTGGCAATTAAATTATTTTTATATGATAGGGAAAAAGCAGCACTTTGAAAGCCTAGAGCAGAATAATCAAATAATCTGGTGAAGAAAGACTCCCTGGAAGAAATGATGCTTCAACTGAGCTGAAAATTAAATAGGAAAATGCTGACTGTCAAGGTAGAGAAAAGGAGCGGCATGCAACTAGGTGAGAGTGGATACCTGAAGTATCCGAGAATCTAATTAATTTCATTATGATTCCAGAACAATGCAAGATGGAAGGTGAGAAATGAGCCTGGAAATTGTAATGTATCTAGAGAGCAAGTTATAAGGTTAGATTTTGAATGTCTTCTAAGGTTCTAATCTGTATTCTATCCTGATGACAACAGGAGACCTCGGAAGATACGGAAAGTGAATTAGAAGTGGTCAAGATGTTGGAGAGAAAAGTCGTTAGAAGGCCTTGAATTGATTAAGGTGAGAGCTGATAACAATTAGACCAAAATATTCACCATCGAGACAAAGCAAAGTTTACCGATTCCCTGTGGATTTACTCGTGGCTTAAAACAATGACCTGGAGCAAACTCTTCTTTTTTTCTAAAGAAAATTAAACCAACAAAATATCCACAAAATGAAACTGATGTAGAAAAGTTGGAGAGACTGTGATAGGGCCGTGAACTAAATTTATGAAGAGGTAAACCTCGTGAGTACGTGGATGCTCTAAGAGCACACTATGGCGAGTTCTGTGTTGGGAAAGATAAGCGCGGCAGGAAGGAGCAGACTTGTGGGCCACGAGAAGGAGAAAGCGGTGGGCGGCAGGGCCTGCAGCTACGCACTGCGGAGCTCTGTTGCCATGAAGTCTGGCATTATGGTGCATTTTATCCTTGAACTCCTATGACCCCTATCTCCTTTACTATTCACATTAGTCTGTCTCTTGCTCTCTATATACAAGCTAACTTATTTTTCTTACAATGTAAAGAATCTGAGGAAAATAATAATTATTTTACCCAGACCAATATTTGTTTGTTTGTTTTTGCGATACTGAGGACCTCATTCTCAGCCCTTCTCTTTTTTATTTTGAGACAGAGTCTCTCTTAGTCTCTAAGTTGCCCGGACTGAGCTCAAACTTGCAATCCTTCTCCTTCAGACTCCCAGCGTGCTGGGGTTACAGGTTTCTACCACCATGCTAGACTGCAAACCAATTCTTCAAGAAGGTAATAAAATAGAATGCAAGTTAAGATAGTTATAATGAGACATATAACTTGTGAGTGACTGTAGATGTACATATGTAGATATTAACAATTTTCAATATGGTAAGCCCAATGTTGACCGAAAATAGGTTCAAGACAAAAAGTATTGACTGACCATGCTGTTTCATGGGTCTCTTCTCTTGGGGAATGGTACTGAGCCACAAGGATCCACTTCTAAGTTAGGAGAACACAAGCACAGAGGCAGCTACCAAAGAAGCCTCAGGCTGAAGAAGGGGGAGAAGCTGACTTTGTTTACACAGTATTCCCATATATTCTGTAAAAGATGGGTTACATAGCACGGAAGCAGTGAAGGGTTGGTGGAAACCCCAAATAGTCAAGGGTGCTGGCAATCTAGAGCACAGAGTAAATTGGAGGAGGAGTCAAGGAAGGGCTGAAAATGAGTGTGGTTGGGTACAGTGCAGGCCACTGAGCAGTCTACTAGGTTCCAGCACCTTGTATGGGGGCAATAAATAGATGAGAGTCTGGTATACACTCTCCAGATCTTACAGTCTAATGAGAAATACAGACACGTACACAGTATTAAAGAATGAACTTTGACAAGATAAGTTTTTGAACAGTTTATTTGAAAAGACAAAGACTCATGATTT